CCCCCGAAGCCACTTTGAACTATGGAGACCTGGGCGTGGTCACTCTTCCCTGTAACAGGAGCTCTTTTGAAAGGCAGAGTTGGTACCTCACCTGGCACCCCCAGAGTCCCAGTACATAGTAGGTGCTCCATTAATGCTCGCCATTAATGCTCCTGTCCCTTGAGGTCTCCAGGAAATAGAAAGCCTCGTGTCCTCTCACTCAGGGCCAGCCCAGTGCAAACTTGGCTAGAGAGTCTGTCCAAGTTCTATCAGCTCCCAGCAGCTCTGCTTCCCCCTGTTCCTGCGTGCTTCCTTCTGTCTGTTCAGAGGCATTCCTTCTTGGTCAGTGACTTGAACATGCAACCATGAAACCTCTCTCCACCCGTCGAAACTTCCCCATCTTGGGCCCCAGTTACTCAGCTTACTGCTGCAAGAATAGCCCTCTGGTTTCTGACAAGTGAAATCCAGCCGTGACCTTAACAGCGAATCATGGTGAAGAACAGTAGACACGGAGGGGCCGAGCCCTGCTCCATATCCAAGCCTGAAGACCCTCTGCTTTATGAGTGGGGAGACTGAGGCCCGGGGAGGAGCAGGGGGACTTAACCTAAAGGCCTTGGCTGGATTCCCAGTCATTGCTCCCTCGGAAACTCTCTGCTACTTCCTGGGTTGCCTTGGCCACTAGAAGTCGAACCACAGCCCTCTCTGTGGGCACGGAACGTCATGGTTTGCAAGCCTTTTCCCTTAGGCGGTCATCTTAGCAGCTCAGTAAGGGGGTCCCTGAGGCTCAGAGAGGCGGGTTGCAGCCGCAATCACACAGCCAGTGGCTAGTGGCTGGAGTCCAGGTCTGGCTGGTCCCCAGTGGGTGCAAGGTGCCACTCACCTGCTGGCTTCCCCGCTCGCTGGCAGCAGCACCAGGTATCTACCAGGGTCTGTCTGCTGGATCTGTCCCCGGCTGGGGCAGGCAACCCCAGGGGCCATGGAGGAGACTGAGTCAAGAAAGAGGCCAAGGGCAGGACATGCCAGCCTCCTGGGCAGCAGTCAGAGCAGCATGGGATCCGGGGATAAGTGATGCGGGCCAGGCCGCATGGCAGGATCTGTGAGCACAGGCCCAACTCGTAGCCAGAAAGCAGGGCTTCAGGGGCCACCATGGGATGGCCCGGGCCCTCTGCCTGCCCACTCCCCAGCCCCATTGATCATCCAGGATTTCTGGGCCCCGGCTTCAGGCAGCAACTTCACTCAGCAGTGGCCAACCCTCATTTACAATGTCTACACGTTCACACACGCAACTCCTTCCACTCCTTGCCTGTGTTATAAGACACAAAGGCTCCTGAATTTCTCTAGTGCTCCTTCTATTTTAAACAGTCTAAGACAGCCGCATCCCACAGCAGTCAAGAGCTTCTGCCCTTAAATCACCTCTGGAGTTCAAATGCAATTGGTGATGTTTTAACAACCCTGTGTCTCTGCTCATTATTTAACCTCTCTGAGCCTCAGTTTCTCCTCAATAGATTGGGAAAGCTAGCAATGTTAGAATTAAAGGGGAACTTGTGTGGAAAGCACTGACCACAAGCTTACTGCTGCAAGAATAGCCCTCTGGTTTCTGACAAGTGAAATCCAGCCGTGACCTTAACAGCGAATCATGGTGAAGAACAGTAGACACGGAGGGGCCGAGCCCTGCTCCATATCCAAGCCTGAAGACCCTCTGCTTTATGAGTGGGGAGACTGAGGCCCGGGGAGGAGCAGGGGGACTTAACCTAAAGGCCTTGGCTGGATTCCCAGTCATTGCTCCCTCGGAAACTCTCTGCTACTTCCTGGGTTGCCTTGGCCACTAGAAGTCGAACCACAGCCCTCTCTGTGGGCACGGAACGTCATGGTTTGCAAGCCTTTTCCCTTAGGCGGTCATCTTAGCAGCTCAGTAAGGGGGTCCCTGAGGCTCAGAGAGGCGGGTTGCAGCCGCAATCACACAGCCAGTGGCTAGTGGCTGGAGTCCAGGTCTGGCTGGTCCCCAGTGGGTGCAAGGTGCCACTCACCTGCTGGCTTCCCCACTCGCTGGCAGCAGCACCAGGTATCTACCAGGCTCTGTCTGCTGGATCTGTCCCTGGCTGGGGCAGGCAACCCCAGGGGCCATGGAGGAGACTGAGTCAAGAAAGAGGCCAAGGGCAGGACATGCCAGCCTCCTGGGCAGCAGTCAGAGCAGCATGGGATCCGGGGATAAGTGATGCGGGCCAGGCCGCATGGCAGGATCTGTGAGCACAGGCCCAACTCGTAGCCAGAAAGCAGGGCTTCAGGGGCCACCATGGGATGGCCCGGGCCCTCTGCCTGCCCACTCCCCAGCCCCATTGATCATCCAGGATTTCTGGGCCCCGGCTTCAGGCAGCAACTTCACTCAGCAGTGGCCAACCCTCATTTACAATGTCTACACGTTCACACACGCAACTCCTTCCACTCCTTGCCTGTGTTATAAGACACAAAGGCTCCTGAATTTCTCTAGTGCTCCTTCTATTTTAAACAGTCTAAGACAGCCGCATCCCACAGCAGTCAAGAGCTTCTGCCCTTAAATCACCTCTGGAGTTCAAATGCAATTGGTGATGTTTTAACAACCCTGTGTCTCTGCTCATTATTTAACCTCTCTGAGCCTCAGTTTCTCCTCAATAGATTGGGAAAGCTAGCAATGTTAGAATTAAAGGGGAACTTGTGTGGAAAGCACTGACCACGGTACTCTTCCATCTCATTTTCCAACCTCCTCATGGACAGCCTTCACTCCAAGTCCTTCTCCCTCCGCTGTGTCTCCCCATGCCTTTGCTCACCCAGCACCCTGCCCACAGGGCCCTGCTTTCATCTCCACACACACACACATCTGCCCCCTCCTCCAGGAAGCCTTAATGTGCCTGCTGGTGTCATCACTGCCAGCATCATAGGGCATTAGAGGAGGAGGAGCCTCGGGCTTCCACAGTGGTCCAGGGTTTAAGACTCTGAGCTTCCACTGCAGGGGGCACGGGTTTGATCCCTGGTCAAGGAATTAAGATTCCGCAAGCATGCAGCACAGCCAAAAAAAAGAGAGAGAGAGAGAAGGAAATGTACATTGGCATCTCTGCCTGTGAGTTGGTTGAGGTGGGGGTGGTGGTGGTTAGAGCTGACTTGGAGAGATTGTCGGGACTGGTGGTAAGTCTGACACCCCCTTTCACAACTAGAGAAGCTAAGAACCCCACAAAGGGGAGGATGTGCCTGAGTGCTCAGGGCAAGTTAGTTCCATGTTGGGGTTGGAACCCAGAAGTCCGGCCTGCGGATCCAAGGGGTCCAATACTGCCACCTCCTCCTGGGAGAGAGGATGCCCCCCCACCACTGCCATGTTAACTGAGGGGGTGGTCTACTTCTCTCAGCAGATTTGAGGGAGCTGGGCTGGGATGGAAACTAGAGGTTGGAGGTTGAGTGTCCCGCCTTTGAGCTGCTTCATCAGCTGGGGGAGGGGGTGGAGGCCCAGAGAGGCCAAGACACATCCATCATCTGGATGGGGGTTGAAGCAGGGACCACAGGCGGACATGGTGAACCTGGAAAGAGTCACAGCTGCGGAGAGGCTGCCAGAACAGTCTCCACTGTCGCCTCTTTCCCGAAGCCATTCATTTAGTTCTTCATCATACCCTTATTGGAAAAAGCTGAGAACGCCACCCCTCCTGGGGAGTTCGCCCCCCCACCCTCCACCCCTCCCCAGTTCTCATGTGCCGTCTGGTGACATTAGCTCACCAGCTTGCAGAGTGCTAATGACATTTGCATTTTGCTGGCTGGTGAAATGTGGGCTGGGGTGTGGGGAGCCCGTGGGTAGGTGGGGAGTTGCAGCCAGCAGGGAGAGGCAGGTACGCTGGGCTGTGAAGGGAGAGATGGGGATGGACAGTGGGAGCTGAAAACATGAATCACGGGTAACATCGAGAGTTTGTTTGTCTAAAGGCTTGCCAAGGGCGCAGGGCACCTCCTAAGTCCAACGCTCTGACTCTCACAGACCCTGCTCTGGGTCGCCTCCCGAGCTTTTTGGAGTGATGGCTATGGGCCAGATGCTCTGCCGTGGCCCCACAGACTTAGGAGAGTCGTCTTCACTCCCTGCAATCCTTCAAGAGAGATGCTACTTGTTTTCTTGTTCTGCAGACCAGGAGACTGATGCTCTGAAAGGATGCCTGCTTCCCCCAGGGTCTCTCACTCCTGGAAAGAGGTTGCCCTGACATGTGATGGAAGTCCATTTGCCTGCAAGCTCATGCTCCCAGCTACCATGGGCACTACCCCCCATAGCTTGTCCAGGCTTGGACGCAGCCAGAGAGCCACTCTCCATTCAGGCCTGTGAGCAGCATTCATCTGTCAGACCAGGAGCAGAGCCTGTGCCCAGGCTGCTCCAGGGATGCCCATCTGACGACCACAAGGGAGGGCGTGGCCCGGGAGAGAGCACCCAGCCACGGGTTAGGCGAAACTGCGGTTTCGACTTCACTCTGCCACCAACTTGCTGTGACTTTGGGCAAGTCGCTGCCCCTCTCTGGGTGGGTGGGGGGGGTCTCTTCATTGCTGAAACGAGGCCATTAGTCTGGCTGGATGGAGCATCCCAGGAGTGTATTTTCACACGAGGAAAAAAACTCTCTCCGCCAATGCGCGTGAACTCACAGTTTCCTCCCACTCACTCAGACATATAAAATGATGCTTCACATCAAAGCAAATCGGGAGACATTCATCAAGCCTCCCGTTCTGCCAAGGGCGCTGTGCTAGACACAGTGGGTGTGACGCTTGCGTATTTCTATCCAGGATGGACACACACAGGCTATGCATATCTTTGTGTCTTAGAATTGTTTGCAGGCAAGTTCAGCCAGGACCTAGAGGGTGACTCCCCCCACAGTCCTGAGACCCAGGCCCAGGCTCCCGCCCGCCAGCCGCCCTTTGCACTCTCTCCTCCGGGCCCAGAGAGCATTTTAAACAAACAGACCTTGGGCAGTGTGAGCTGATGGGGTCCCCCACTCACAGTTGTGACCAGTTCTGCTTGTCTCTCACAGGTGGGCATCTCCGTGCAGAGACCAGACCTTCCGAAACTGTCATCAAAGCAACGTGAACCCTTTGCATTTGAACTCCTAAAAACGTGGGCACAATCTTTTTCCAAACTTCTCAACACCAGCTACCCAGGTAAGGGAGCTCGGGGTGTTCAGCACGGGATTTTATGCAGCTTTTGCTGCTGCTAACAGCAGCTGTCGGAGGACACCCTAATCATTCTTTATCACCGTGTGTTGTTGTATTCCCTTCATTAGCAGGAGAGCCCAGTGGCTAAGGCTTTAAAGTCAAACAGAGTTGGGTTCCAATCCTGAATCACTAGTTACTAGCTGTGTGACCTTGGGCAGGTTTCTCAACCTTTCTGTGACTCTGCTTCCTCCTCAGTCAAATGAAGAAGTAACAGCACCCCTCTCTTGGGGTTGTGGTGAAGAGAAAATGAAGTAATATATGAAAAGCCCTTAGAACAGGACATGTAGTAAGCTTAGAATGCAGTAAGCGTTAGCTGTTACTAATAGCATCACTGTACTTGTGACAATCTGTAATTAACTCATCCTCATGTTGAGTCCTTGTCTGTCTCCTGCAATAGAATATGGACTCCAGAGGACAGGGGTTTGTCTGTCTCATTCTTAGTTGAACCCCCAGCTCCCAGCAGAGTAAGAAAGTGAAAGTGAGGTCGTTCAGTCGTGTCTGACTCTCTGCGACGCCATGGACTATAGCCTACCAGGCTCCTCCATCCATGGCATTTCCCAGCCAAGAGTATTGGAGTGGGTTGCCATTTCCTTCTCCAGGGGATCTTCTCAACCCAGGGATGGAACCCAGGTCTCCTGCCCTGCAGGCAGACGCTTTACCGCCTGAACCATCAGGGAAGCCAGCAGAGTAAACTGGCTGTTATTTGCTGAATGAATGAATGAGTGAGTGAAGCTGTTTTACCTATATTATGCAGAATCCTCAGGACAATTCTTGAGGGTCCTTGCACTTATAAGGATAATCACTTGGTTGTATGTGATAAAAATGCAAACTAAATTTCCTTAAGCAAGAGACAGGTTGATTTTTCTCTCAGGAAATTTCTAAGCTAAAGGGATCCTTTGACACAAAAACGTTAGGGACCCAAGTTCCTTTTGTGCTGTGGTTGTACCCATCGTTTGTCTACATGACCCACGACGGCCCATGACCGTCTCTCCATTTGGGTTGGCAAGAAGGAAGAAATCAGAAAAGGAGAGGATGCCCCTTCCTTTAAGAGGTGCACACATCACTTCCTCTCAGCTCCCACTGGCCAGAGTAGAGTCCCGCGGCACAATTAGCTGCAAGGGAGGCTGGGAGTTAGAGTCTTTATTCTGGGGGATTATCTGCCCAATTATAATTCTATTAAAAAGAAAGGAGGGGCAATGGATACTAAGGGGCCCTCTGCCTTGCCAGTTGATAAGATCCCCCCTTTTTTTCATCCTCCATGCCTTCTTCCTCACCCCCAGAAACCAATGATCCTTTTACTGCCTTCTTTCCTTTGTGCCATTTCCAGAATGTCATATAATGGAATCATATAATAGGTACCGTTGTCAGACTGGCTTCTTTCACTTCATAATATGCACCCCTCCACGTCTTTTCATGACTTGATGGCTCATTCATTTTCACCACTGAATAATATTCCACAGAAGGCACCACAGTTCATTTATCCATTCATCTGTTGAAAGAAATTTTGGTTATTTCCAGTTTGGGGTGATTATGAATAAAGCTACTGTAAACATTCATGTGCAGGTTTTTGTGTGGACATAAGTTTTCAATCAGTTGGGTAACTATGTAGGAGCATGATTGCTGAATTGTACGGTTAGAGCATATCTAGCTGTTTCAGGAACTGCCAAGCTGCTTCCAAAGTGGCTGTTTCACGTTGCATCCCCACCAGCAACAAGTGAGAGTTCCTTTTGCGCTGTCTCATCACCACCAACTGGTGCTGCCAGTTTTGCAGGTTTTTGTCCTCCTGTCAGGTATATGGTGCTATGATCCCCACTGAAAGTTGAGGATCCTGCAACACAGAGAGCAGCTTGCCCAAGATGACACAGCGGGTAAAAGAACGAGGAACTTCCCCTACCTGCTTCACAACTGAGCGCAGTCACGCCCCACTGCCTCTACCCTACGCAGGTCTCCTTGGGGCATAGGCCAAAGCCATGGGGTGACTCTTCCCACCCCAAGCTCAGGAGGGCCCTCATTCACTGTGTGGTGTCTGTTTCTCGAAGCAGAACTGAAGTTCAGTGAACAGAACAAGGAGCGATGGCGGCAGAGTAAATGGATTTGAGTCCAGGTTGGAGGGGTCTCATTAGATTAGCCCAACGAGACCCCTAGGTGGGGCAGCAGACACAGGGTGCTGGGGTGGGGTGGGGCGATGACTGAAGTATTAGCTTCTCAGTCATGTCTGACTCCTTGCAAATCCATGGACTAGAGCCCGCATAGACGCCTCTGTCCATGGAACTCTCCAGACAAGAATACTGGAGTGGGTTGCCGTTTCCTTCTCCCGGGGACCTTCCCGACCCAGAGATTGAACCCAGTTGTGCTGCATTACTAGACAGGTTCTTTACCATCTGAACCACCAGGGAAGCCAGGCAAAGCCTGAACTGAGCTCAGATGCTGCATCATTTGGGAGCCAACGCTCATTTCAAACCTGATAAAGCAAGAAGATATGCAACATATTCATTTTGTTTGTTTGTTCTGTTTTCCAATATCATGGCAATCTGGGACCTGTTTATTGGTGTCCAAGGTTCAAGAGATGCCCAGGTCTGTGCCTTCTGCTTCCTTCCTCGTGGGATTCAGTCCCTAGTAAGCACTCCCCACGTGGCAGTAGGGCAGCGGCCAGCAGCTCCAGGCTGACATCCTGCTCGCTGCAAACCCAATGAAAGGAGAGCTTCTATTTCCCAGCAGTGAATTAGAGCCCAGGTTGGAGGGATCTCACTAGATCAGCCAAAACACAACCCTAGGTGGGGCCAGACAACTGCGAAGGCTGGGATACGGGTGAGCCCCAGAGGCTGCTGGCTTGTGTCCTGTCCTTGGGTCTGAGGGGAAGGCTAGAGCTGCTGCCCAGGTCAGAAGAACCAGTGACGGGCCAGAAGTGAAGGTCGGCTGCAGGGAATACCGAAAGTCCCAGAGTCGAAGCTTATTGGCTGGTCTTGGGTCACATGACCACCTCTGACCAATCACTGAAGCAGAGGATGTGCTCGTGGTCTGTGTTTGGAGTGGGTGTGTGCGCGTGCGTGCTGTGGGTGGGAGGATTCAGCCTGAAAGTGAGAGGTCTGGTACCCCAAAGGGTTGACCGGGTGCTATTTTCAGAAGAAGGAGGAAGGGATGCTGGGCAGACACAACAACAGGTACTCCCTACTGGTGCCGTGACAGGGCGTGGGGGCTGCTTTGTCCTAAACGGGCCCTTTGTGGCTTGCAGCACCCGGGTAGCTTCTCTCTGACAGATGCGTTTGGGTTCAGTGGATCTGGTATCCGAAAGCCTCACACACACACACACTGTGCAGGTGTCGCTTCACTTTCTGAAAGTATTGTCCAGAAAGCAAGGGCTTCCTAAACTGAGTCCTTGTGTCCCCTATTTCAGCTCCCACTTGAAAGTGAAAGTCGCTCAGTTGTGTCCGACTCCTTGCGACCCCATGAACTATATACAGTCCATGGAATTCTCCAGGCCAGAATACTGGAGTGGGTAGCCTTTCCCTTCTCCAGGGCATCTTCCCAACCCAGGGATCGAACCCAGGTCTCCTGCATTGCAGGTGGATTCTTGACCAGCTGGGTCACAACAGCTACCACTTACCTGGAGGCTTTGGGTTGCCCTTCCCTTGCTAGGAGGGCTTTTTGCTTTCTTTTTGCCGCCCCCACTCGCTCATCGCTGGGGAAATTTCTTGAGCCACTTTACCATTTGCGTGTGTGCGTGCCAAGTCGCTTCCATTGTATCTGACTCTGTGTGACTCCATGGACTGTAGCCCGCCAGGCTCCTGTGTCCGTGGGATTCTCCAGCCAGAATATGTCACTGGGCTGCTGTGCCCTCCTCCAGGGGACCTTCCCAACCCAGGGATCGAACCCGGGTCTCCTGCACTGCAGGCAGATTCTTTATGGGTGAGCCACTACGAAGCCCACTTCAGCGTTTATTTGCCCTAAATGGCCTCCCAGAAGACCTGGCCTATGACTGCCCAGAGAGGGCCCACAGCCCTCCCCTCAGCCACCTCCTTCCTGCGGCCTCTTGGAGGGATGGGAGAGGAGAGGAGGAGGTCACTGGTGGAGCTGGAGGGGCCCCAGGAGTCCCCGGGTCTGCAGGCCAGCCTCATAGCCCCAGCTTACGTGCACCGTGGAAGCTCTGTTATGCATTTATGGTACGGTGTATGATTTCATTTGAAAAAAGATTGCTCTGCAGAAAAAAGATGGAAAACCACAGTGCTTGATGCTGCCTCCCAGGCAACTGTGGCCAAGTGCTCTTTAAGATCTGTCCTTTGTTGATTTCGGTCAACCACAAATCTCCTGGCCCTGTACCCGTGTCTCTCTCTCTCCATCTCTCTCTCCTGTGAATTCTGCGGCTCTGACTCACCACACAGACCCACTCAGCGTCCAGCGCCACCCTGCCTTATATGGGTGCTCACTGCTCTGGGGTCAATATGTATTAATTCATTTCTACAGCCGTTGTCTGTTGAGCTCCTACTGTGTTCCAGACACTGCTTATTTGCTGGGGATTAGAAGTGGGCAAAGTCGAAAGGTCCCTGCCCTCAGGGATCCCTCCCATCTCCTCTGTGAGATCCACTGAGGGCAGGATCTTTCCTCTGGGTTTTTTGCCCCCAACCCTTCATATAGTGTCTAATTCAATGCCAAACTGTAGTTGGACTTGGCGGATGTTTGTCACAATTATTTTCCACATTATTTTTTAAAGCCCCCACTTATGACTGATGCTGCAGAGACACTGGAATGATTTGGTCCTCACCCTCTAGGACTGAGAGTTTAAGATGCAGCTGGCGATGGGCCCTGAAGAGGAAGGAAGGTTAGAGATCTGTATGCAAACACAGTCAGGGGTGTGCATGAGTCAAGAGTAGGCCAACCTCTGCACTCCCAGCCAGCGCTGGGGGCCCTGCTCCGAGCCACCTGGTTATAAGGGATAGACATGAAAGTAA